ATTAGAGTAGATTACATACTGTCACCTTGTTTATCCATCTCTTTGGCTCATCTAGACTACAGATAATCGTCTTGCTTCTGATTACGGAAGTTTAACACGATCTTTGAGTAATACGAAAAGCAATTTTATTTCAATTCTACTTGAAGCTATTAAGATAATTTTACTTATTAGGCATTTTATTAGCCAGCTGGATGAAAATAAATCACTGCTTTATACATATTGATTATAGATCTGAGTAAAAGTGATAGACAATAAGTCTAGTCGATGCTTGCTGAATGATAAATTTACATCTGTGCATCCGCATGTGTTGAAGTAAGCTTTATATACAAACTAGCTATAAGTGAGTGGAACGTCACCACACCTTGAAACGAAATTTGAAAAATTAACGAACCAACCCTTCTTGGACTCGGTAAATACATGAACTCATAAAGAATATAAACGAGGAAAACGCTAATTTCAATGTAATTTTTTGGGAATAAAAGAGCCTAACTCTTTACAGCTGAACATCTAGTTGAAATAATTCATTTTCTTTCTCAAGCACAATAATGATGATTGCACTAAGAAGTAGCTCACTATTTACATATAAAATGGTGACTAAAGTGAACCTCATACACACTGCTTTGAAAGTTTGATAGTACATACACTTTCATTCTTGAGAGCAGAAGAAAGTATCAGTCCACTTTTTTTCCTGTAATATCTAAGCAGGAAATTCAAACTCCAAGTAGGATAAAGTCTTTTTGTTGAGAGAAAAGCTGGTTAAACTTTTCTTTCACTTTGATTAGTGGTTACCTGTACAGCTATTTCCCCTGCGGGTGAAAACACTGGTCTTTAGCCATGATTAGACCCCACTAGTTTAAAAAAGTTAAGAGAATTACAGTTGTAAGTGATTTTCAAACTGAGAATAGTTTACTGCACTCTCTCATGGATATACTCTTTACCAGATTATGTATTCCCATTCAATATTGGGTTGCTTAAGAATAAGCTGAACAGTTTAATATCTGCTGCTTAATTCCATATATATATATATATATATATATATATATATATATATATCTTCGAATTATTTCATTTTATTCCAAACACTGAGTTATGTGAAGTATTGTCAGCAAATGTATATATTTTGGTACTGGGTGATGAATGAAGATGAAATGAAAATCTAGTTTGGGGCAGAAGTCAAACCAGCAACTTGCGGATCATCAACCCGAGTTTGCCAAACCACAGCCATATCAAATAGCCACACTTAAAATCAATACAGATGTTTACGTATATAACATGGTTTAATGCTGTTAGTTTCATCTTGCGTTTAAAGATAGCAAGCATTCAGTTTGCTATTAAAACTTCAGGTGTTTACACTGTCATGGACAGTAATTATGCCTGAAATGTCTAACTTTATCATTGTTGGAAAACACTAATTAAAAATTGATTTATAATCCATTGAATAATTTCATAATGCACAAAAGTTATTAGGTTTACCCTCATGCACCTTTACGGATTTAAAAGACTTCTTAAGAATTGTTCTGTTTTCTTAGATAAATTATTTCTTTTGTTGATGTGATTAAACTATACTGATCAGCCACTGTTTGCATGTGGACTTTATGGACGCATACTTTAAAACTGGCAGCAATTTTATTTTATTGGTGATGATGAATAATACCTAACATGAGAATCCAGGATGTACGTTTTGTTTTGTATCCACCGTTTGAATGTTGTCTTTGATTAAAAATCAAACTCAGTCTAAAATTTCACCCCTTCAGTGACTGATTGACACCAGTGTATGTCATTCATCCAATATACCTTTTGGTGTAATCGTATTTTTTTTCAAAATTAGACGAAATGTTGATCTGGCTTTGGAGTACAGGTAATTAGTTTTGATTCACCACTCAATGTAAAAAGGATTCCTTCTTTGATTCACCAGGATATATATTTTCGGGAGCATTACCCATAAACGTACAGTTTGTTATGTAAAGTGTTTGAAACTTCTTAATTATGATTCGCTTTCCCTTAGCTAAGAGTCTACCACTCCTTTTTTCAGTCAACAAGTAATGTTTTATGGGATGACGACTGTAGGTAGTTGTCACAGAAACTTTACTACTGTTTAAAGGCTAACAAGAATATAAGTGGGATAAAATACCACATAACTTTTTCCGAAGTAACTGATAACTTTTCACTGTTCAAGAAATGAATGTATGAAATCGACCTACTTGTTAACAGGAAGATATACTAACCCATAAGTGAAGTTTATTGAATGTAATACTGTCTTGTCAATAGAGGTAAATAGACTACACTGATCAGGTTTCTGTTGTGCTCACCAAGACTAGTGAATCAAAAAAGGGACTCAGTAAATTTGGTATTAACTAGCTATTTGTGGTCAGTTGGACATTATAAACTTGGCTTTAGTTTGAATGGTTACAATCCCTGGAATCAATGAATTTCCTCAAAATAAGGACACGCCTCACAGATGTTTATCGTACAGCACAACATTTAGGTTCTTACCATCCTTCTGACTACCTTATTCCTGCAACATACTATGAGTAACTAAATGTATATGAAAGCAATCAGTGATGTTTTTCCTTCAGCTGGGAAGTCTATTGACTAATCCATAGATAAATTTAACAACTGTAGGACAAAAATTAATTTACTCAGCATGGGACATTTTCATTTTTCATTAAAGTTGCATCTCGATAATTAACAGTAATATAGGAAAATTATATCATGATAAGGAGACAAAGCCTATCGCATTTCATATTAGTTTTCTTCATAATTAAATCTCATTACCCTGATGACACCTGATCAATAAAGAATAAACATGATACTTATCTGGCCGGCTAAAAAAAGTTTTTAACAGCTGTTAATGCAAATTTTTTACTGATTCTGCCGAACTCTAAATCAAGTAGGAAGTTTCTGACGTATATTTCTACAAGTTTGTTTTTGCATTTGATTTCAACAATGATTGGTTACCTAAATCTAATCCTCAGCATGAAAACACGTTTCATTTGATTCCAAAGTTATAGCTGGATTTCAGATAGTATTAATGAGTTTACTATTTGATATTCCAGCTACTTAGGTTTCTTACTTAAGTCTCCGTTACAAAAATACCAAATTTATGTTGTTCATATCCATTCCTACAACGCACTGGTAATTAGAACAGTAAAGACAAGATCAAATATTTGTTATACACATGCTGATCGTGTATAATTGCCTACATTATGTGATCTGGTAAAAATAAGTATGCGTATGTGGAAACTTCTGCTTTCTAGAGCGGTTGGTTTTTGGTAGATTGACTAAAATCCATAATCTATGGGTTCGACTGACTACATATTGAATACAAGCTTACTTCAGTATCATTGCAGAATGGAAGCTGTATGTTATGCACTTCAGAATGTAGAATCTTAACCACAGTATTTCGGTTCATTAGTTCAGTGGGGAAAAAGTGTTGAAAATACCCAGTTGGAGTTAATCCAGCACAGGAAAAGCACACAGCCATTCAATACTACAGGCATTTTAGTAAAGGATCGAATGATACCACTTAGTAGCAAAGACTATTTCGTGAACATATATTCGATAACAGCAGTTTTCCTTTTTTCATTAGGATAATAAGCATTAAGTCAGTAAGATGTACTTGCCAGTGAAACCTCTTGTGGTCAAAAAACAAGTGATGCTAAAGTTTGCTCGAATGATTTATTGTTGTATCAGTATTCTTACCGTTTTAAAAAGTGGAAGCAGTGCAGTTTCATCGTCTGAGACCTTCCGTATACCACTGATTGTTTCAATTCAATCAAGGAACAGCATGAATGAAAAGTGAAGCAATAGTAAACACCCCATAGGAGATTAATCGATTTGATAGCCCAACGTGATATTGTATTATTTGCTAGAGGACGTTTGAGCATAATCGTATCAAGATAATCACACAAATTTGTTGTCCAGTTTTTGCAGACATATTGTTTTTCATTCTTTGATTTAATTGGTAGTATAATTCTCTATACGTCCGTAATAGGCATTGCATCATTTTGACTACATGTATTAGGCTATGAATCGATTAAAACAGATTTAGTAATCAACGTCTCCCTCGAATGAAATACATTGTAAGGTCCTTTGTTATCGAGTGCATCGCTATGGCTTCTAGCTCCTCTAGATTACTCATCTTTGTAAGGTCCATCAATCTAGACATAGCTAGCTCCTTACATACTACTAACCCAACTGACCCCATTCAGCTGCTGTGATCTACCTGTTTGACCTCGCAGTCCTTCGGAGATATTTAGTAAATTTAATTATCCTGTTTAATTAGATCAGTATAACCCTTAGGCTGAAAAAGATTGTCTTAGTGAGTTTGTTGGTCTTAATCCAAAACTAATCTCATCCTTGTTGGTAATCCTATGCAGGGTTTATGATATCCTTTCTTATATGGTTTTGAATTCCTTCATAGTCATTTTACAGTCATCATTGGTAGCACTAATCCTTTTTTATGCACCCTTACATATTTCCAAAAAAATTTAGAAGGATATTCATTACGAAGCGAAGCGTCTGTTTAGTGTCTCATTTCTACATTTTAATTTTTCGAATTACTGGATAAAATTCTGGCTGGATAACTTAAATATTTGGCTTACCCTACTCTTTCAACACAGGCAGTAAGACATGTCATGAGTATGCAAAATATCAGATGTTAGGAATATACAACTACCAGCACAACAAGACTTCTGTTTATTGTTACAACCGGAGTGGGTCATTTCAACAAGAGAATTGGTAACATGATATACGAGGTACCATTTGTCTCACAATATTTCTTTCACTAAATTCTACACTACACTAAAAGTACACAATCACCTTTCGTCAAAACAGAGGGATGCTTTAGTTATTTAGATTTCTCTTGCGACTACATAAAGACTGTTGTTATATGCGAACCCCAAACAACGATCGTTAATCAATAAAAAGCAGAGCCAGTTACAAATTGAAAAAATTAAACAAAGCACTAACAACAAGCAGAAGATCACTAACAAACTTACTTGCTTTGCATGGATCCAGCCAGTAACTTTGAGGGTAAAATAAAGCCAAGTCCCTTTCTGGTTCAAATATCAAAGTCTTTGGAATGAAATAGTTAACTTCATCCTCAAGCTCTTTGTGAGTCAGTCTGTTTGTCGGATTACTATAGCCTAAACCGAATTTATATGTCGAACCCGGATTTAAATGTGTTATACCAAGTTTACTTTTGTTGACATTAGCATTGAGAGTTTTATAAGGACTGTCTATGTTGATTCGACCACCGTAAAGATTAGTATAATGCTGACTTTTGTGTGTCTGGTGTGGATTTTTAGTTGGCTGAATTTTCACATATATTGGGTGAGTATAATTGAAGTATTGTTTAGGGGTACTTAGTGTTAATTCTCGAGTTAAAGGCAAATTTATCCACAAAAACAGTATGTTTACAATTAGATTTGTAAGCGAACATACAATGTAGAAAGGACAAAAATGGATCTTCATTTGTGATGTTCAATATTGAGTATATTTATTATGAAACGATTGCAACACAAAGATTTTGAATTTTACTTTCTAACTACTGAAACTTAAAAGTGCGCTGACTGTGATCCATGAATAATAAATGTGTCATCTAAAATTGATCATCTGTTGCAACTGGTGTACCAAGGTGATATAGCACTGAGAAGACATAATCGAACCCTTCTTGGACTTAATTAAAGTTATGACTGTGAAGTACATTGAGGCACTAAGTCCCTAGTCCCAGAGTATTCATTTGAAAATGTAAATCCAGCAGTATGAAATCTTTTGGAAGCAGAATGGCTCACTGTACAATCATTTTCGGATCATAAGTTAGATGATGAATAAGCGTACTATGAAAACTTGAAACCTATTTCAGTTTTTTGTCGTCAGTTTAAACCTGTGCAGAGAGACTTTTGAGATTATGTGGAATAATATTAAAGTTGTTTGCGTTAGTATTACCAAAAGGTCATAATTTATTTTATTGACCAATAGAATTGTTGTCTCTAACTACCTTGATAAAGTGAAGTTTTAGACATATGCCTGAACACACATACCTACAAGTATGTGTACAAGTCAGCCTCACAATCTTTGTAAATTTCAGTGGTGACCGTTATAAATGTCTTGTGCATTTGTTTGTACCTTCACCAGCATAAACTACATGTATTGTGTTTTGTTACATTCAACCTAAACAGACTTAAAAGTCATGCACAATGAATTCCTGAAGAATGGTTGCACACATATTTTCATGTGTATACCAAACATTAGGCCCCAATATTTTCATTCGTTTCCCCGTGAGCCATTGCAGTAAGAATCGGTGTTCATTTGAAAATAAACCCAAGAAAAATCATGAAGACTGAGACATTAACAAGGGAGTATTTAATTAAACCTTTTACTAGTGTATAAAAAGGAATTGTCAAGCCCACTACTTCTCTTTTTGTAACTTTTCCTTTCTTTTATATGTATTCCATGGTTGATTATTTCATTTCACGTAGGAATTTAATCAAAGAGTATTAAGATTCTCCAAGCCGCAATGTGATTTAAATGCAGTAGAATAACTTTTGTTGTGTAACATTTCCAAAGAGTGGTTTTGACTGATAATTTTGCATTGTTTGGAAACAGTTTTAATCCTAACCTTCAGTAATTCGTCACCGCAGCCTGAGGTGTATTTGTAGATCTACAGTAGTGTTGGAAAGCAATCAGTTTCGACACTGGCTAAGGGAAATTAGTAGTTTTTAACTGAGTCAGGATAAATGTCTCAACTGGATGTACTCCGTTTGTCTAAACCTCACTTGACATATTCTAGTTGAAGCTCTAGAACAAACCTTGTTATTCACTATTTACTAACTATCGAAAAACATATACAAACAAATACATGTAGTATTGTAGGGCTGAAGATAGAAGCTTCATCCGTAGATCACTCGGATGTGACTATCTCCGTAAATCAAGCCCAAGTAAACTAAGTCATTGTTGAACACCAGGCGACATCAAGCGACATCTGCAACCTGGTCAGAATTTCCTACTAGGATGCAAAGATAAGGGTAATATGGAGACCGGATTCTGTAGAAGGCTGCAACCTCCCCCCACACCAACAAACTGGAAGTAATGTCTACCAATGCACTATTGTATCAAACTGGCTCAAATACTTGTTTATCTAAAAATATTTTAATACTATCGCTAATAACCCAAGATTATTGAGTCAACCTATTTCCCAAACCTGGTTGTCGAATCTGTAAGTGCAATGTGACCTTAGCTCATATGATTTCAGAAAAAATCCAGAGTTTCCCAGACCAACTTCTATCACATGAAGTCGTGTACTGTTTAGTACGTAAACCCTTTATTTAATTCCTAAAATTTTGCTTATAATTCCTTTGGATACTGAAGTATAAGGCGAATTTCAAACTAACTGTAACAGATATATGAAAACCTTTTTCGGTGAGATTTTCAAATCCTGTTGCCTGAAAGCACAGCCTTACGAGATTTATTGCGTATGGTATACCGTTATTTAGGTAGTAAGTCAATAATCAGTAAAGTAATTTGCATACAATGAAAGAAAGTTTAATTTTTGCTGTCTCTGACATTTAGTACTAGCACAACTTACTGGTCACCCTGTAAGCCTCCTAATAATTTTTATTTATATACAGTGGGATATGGTGGACAATGATATTTAATTCACAAACCGACCAATCATACTATACTTCTGGAGAATCTGATCCTGTTTAGAAGCTACATTTTGGTTAAATGTAGGCAGTCGGCAGTAAGCCCTGAACTTAGGTCTCTTTCTTGTGGACAGTCGTCAGCGAGGCGTATCTGCCACATCAGCGAAACTGATGTCACACTTGAGATTTGAAACGGCGCCACCCAGTGCTACAGTCAGACATGTTACCACTGAGTCATGATGCACCAACTTTAGGACTGGATTAGATAAACCGACTGATCACTGGAGGGCAAGTAACTATGTGTTGTCTAGTCCTAGGTGCTGATCGAACTCTATCGATCATTTTGTAATGTAGCCACCAGACTAGAAGATAGCTTCCCGATGGACTGTGATGGGTGTTAATTGAATGACGGCAATCCGCAGTGGGTCCTGCAGCTGGGTTTTGTTCTACCTGTCACTCGTCAGCAAGATTTGTCTGAAACCTCAATGGAACTGATGTTCCACCTGAAGCTACATACATATAGTAAGTGGTTGACACACTCTTAAGGAGATCAGCCCTGTACACATTGGGTTCCTGTGAAGTAATGAAATACACTGTCAAAGGTCAGTGTTTCTGAAAGAATATCTTTGCCTTGTATCTCAATTATATGTAATTTAAACACTGCTACAAACGATCTACGGGCATGTTACTTCAGTGTTTCGATACCTAATGTCTTCATTTTTCTTACTTACCTTCTTCTAACTTCTAAAATGCTTCCTGTGATTTCGTTCGAGTAGAAAATGAAACATATGGTATCCTTTAGAGGTGACCGTTTCTATTTGGAATTGCAAATGGCAATGGAATATGCGTAATTTGTTCATAGAATCTATCTCGTTAAGCCTAAAAAAGTACCCTTTAAGATCAATTCTTAAATATTTTAAGAGGAAATAAAGAAACACAAATGATATAATGCTTTGAATGCTTGCTGATTAGTAGTCTTCATGATGTCGTTCATCAGCCATCATTTACCAAATATTTTAACAGTACTTGTAACTGAATGCATGATAAAGGAAATCACGCTTCCCTTTTACGTGCAAAGAACTATTCTTACATTCATTGCGTTGACGGTATACAATGCTAACTATCAATAAAACGTCATTCGCAAAGTGATATTTGTCATTAAGTTTGCTTTCTGGGATTACATACTCGGAGAAACTGTTGGAAACCTTAAACTATCAGACAACAGTTTTGTGACTAATCATGAGTACAATCCCTTTATCTCATGAGTATATGACACAATGGTTTTCGTGTCTGATACTGTACTGCTCATTTATCCAGCTAGATATTAGGACCTATGTTATTCAGGCTAAGCTGACTTAGAATAAGTACTTAATTCACCAAGAGTAAGCAGTATTTACATTCAGCAGTTTAGCGGTTGCCAGCCTGACACCGGTCTTTAGTGAAAACAACTTTTAAGCAAACTAGCTCCCATAAAATCAATCCTGCGGAGAACTTATTTTTAGTTTTCACGTGTAGGATGGTCTATCTTCTTGAACTTTATAAGGCTCGGTTTCTTGAAATTTTTCAGGGAGAAGTTTCATTCAAGGTGGGTAAAGCTAACAGGAAAAAGTCAAGTGAATTTAGTAGATGTTTCAAAATCTCATCCAAACGAGCTCTATGTAAACGAAATAGTTGACGAGGCTAACTGAAACTAAAACAGACCGAACACTATTGAGGAAAGAATTGTATTGGAATAAAATCATTATGCACTGACAGTTATACGAATGATAAATATCTTGAGCTTCTTTGGTTTCTTCCCTTCTTTACCACATTGAAGATTTACTGTAAAACATGCTGTAATGTTTGCAAACGTTTAGGTCGGTTTCATTTTTTATACTGTTAGCTAGTCGTTAGATTCTAGCTGCATCAGACGACGATTACATTTAAATCACAGGTTAGTGATACTTGGACAAGTGACTTTCTATTCTAAGAAAATAAAAAGACGGATGAACCTCTCGTAATTTGGCTTGAAAAACAGATCTCTAATGGCTATCCACTATTGAGACCACTAGTTGTTTGTCAAATTTTGGAGCTTTCAATATAGCTAGAGCGATGAAATAAATAGTTCGTGGTTTGAGATGATAGTTAATTCTGATTAGAATTTTTGATAATGCCAGGAGCCCATTATTTTATGAGATCTAGTCTACACAAAAGAAATAATTTACTTCAGAATATGAACACACCTTCAGATACAGAATTGCTGAAAATGTGGAGAAATGCTACCTGAAAAGCTGTTGGTATTCAGAAAGTAAATGGTGAAATGAAAGGGGGTGAAGAATTTAGTGTTTTACAGAAATTTAACTACCAAGTGATCAAAAAATGAAAAAGGTTATGCATGAAAAGCTTCAAATTCTTTCCCTGAATGACGAAACTGACACTATTGCAAGACAATTAATAACGTAACATCTCCAGCCGGCTACTTTTAACTAAGTGTTACTCTAAAGAAGGAGCTTTCCTAAACTAATTGGTCAGTGCTGCTAAATCACACTTCTCAATGAATCTTTTGCCATATTTTGACAATGATAATAAAAGTATTTCTGAAGCCTCTAGATACAATCCCTGGCAAAGGAAATATATACTACGTCTTATTTAACTGGTGGACACTGGAGTGGTGGGACCAGGAAACACTGATATGATGTTTTATAACAGAGCCTCAGTTGGCCTTCATTAAGAATTCAGTCAGTAAGTGGGTCATCTTCGAAGTTCTATTCACCACGGAACATCTTTCTCACGTACATGGGCAATCATCTTTCTGCAGCCTCAGCTTCATGTATTCATCCATGAATCATAGTGGATATTCACTCAAAACCAATGTTGATAGCAAAAATGTTTCTCTTTTAATAATATTCAGAGCTACCAGGAAACTAGATGTGCCGTCCAGGAGATTCAATCGGATTTGTTTGGCGGTAAAAATGAGCACCAGATTGCAGAACCTCGACATCTAGCAATTCTAAATTATGAATTAAAAGTGCAAAGGTTTTTCAGTAAGGAAATATTTCTTCTCAGTGACTTTATTATCAAGCCACTCAGTCGTATTTATAACTGAAACAACAGGAGGATAAAATAACAATAGTGCTGGTTATAGTTATAATAAGGTTGTCAACTGGTGACTTAGAGGTTGAATGGAAATAAAAAGGGGTAACATAAGATTTCTGGATCTTTCATAAACCGCATATAGATAAAGTGGTGAAGAGTGAGAGAGTTTAAATAAAAAGTTGATCAGTCAGCATAGAAGTGGTATGGTTATGTGCGCA